GTATGTGTGTGTGTGTGCACGTGTGTGTGTGTGTGGTGGGCGGGGAAGAGGTGGTTACAAAGTGACGCAGCGACAGAGTGGTGCGCCCAAGCGCCGCCGCCGCCGCGCCCTTGCCGCGCCCTCCCGCGCCCCAGGTGCCCGACGCCCTGCTCCCCGACGAGGTGGTGGAGGCGCTGGTGGCGGAGCGGCGGCCGCGCTTTGTGCCGCTGGACGGTGGTGCCAGCACCAGCGCCGGTGGCGGAGCCGGTGCCGCGCCGGGGCACGGCGGCGTGGTGCAGCTGCGCCTGTCCAACGGCATACGCGTCAACTACCGCCGCACCGACAACGAGCCGCGCGGCGCGATGCTGCGCCTGGTGGCGGCGGGCGGGCGGGCCACGGAGGGGCAGGGCGCGGGGCCGCTGGGCACGGGGGTCATGGCGCTCGGCACGCGCACGCTGTCGGAGGCGGGCACGGTGGGCGGGTGGAACCGGGAGCAGGTGGAGCTCTTCTGCATCTCCAAGCTCATCAACTGCGTGCTGGAGACTGACGAGGAGTTTGTGTGCATGGACTTCCACTTTGCGGTGAGGCGGCGGGAGGAGGGAGAGGGAGGCGGAGGTGGTGGGCGGCGGCGCGTTGGCGGCGCGCGGATGGGAGGGATCGAGCGAGCACGTGGCCACGCGCGTGGCCGTGCACTGCCGCGCCTGCCAGGCCTTGCCCCCCGCACGCAAGGCCCGGCCCTGCGCGCTCGCTTCGCTCACGCTCGCGCTTCGCTCACCCGGCGCCCCCGCCCCCCCGTGCCTGCGCCTTTGCCCTCCCGCCAGGTCAGCGATGGCGGCGTGGCCAGCGTGCTGCAGCTGCTGCACCTGTTCCTGGAGCAGCCGCGGTGGGAGGCGGCGGCCATGGAGCGCAGCAAGCAGCAGTACCTCTCCCACTACCGCTCCCTGTCCAAGTCGCTGGAGCGAGCCACGGCAGACCGCATCCTGCAGGCGCGCCGGCGGCGGCGGCAGCAGCTGAATGCGTACCATTTTTTTCGCTGTTTTTGTGGGCACCTGGCGGGCGGGGCTGCTGCGGGGGGCAGGCCGCCGCTGGCGCCGGCGCGGGGCCTGGGATGGCGCGCGCGCTGTGCCCGTCTGCCCTTGCACTTGTCTGACATCCCTGCCTTGCTTCCGGCGTGCTGCCCCCCCACCCCTTGCCGTGGCGAGCAGGCGATGCTGGGCCCCGACCGCCGCTTCCGCGACCCCAACCCCGAGGAGATTGCGGCGCTGGACCTGGAGAGCATGCGGCTGGCGGTGATGCGGCAGATCCACGCGGGCAATGTGGAGGTGGGTGCCTCCGGAGGTGGCTGGGCTGCTGGGTGGCTGGGCGGGAGGGGTGGGCGTGCTCCACTCACGTCGCGGCGTGCTCG